TAAGCGTCTGACACATAACGTTTCAGTTAATAAATAGTATTTAAATAACGCTGTGTCAGACAATAATATTTATTAACTAATAAACAACGCTATGTGTCAGACGAAACTTTTTATTAACTGATAAACAACGCTATGTGCCAGACAATACTATTTATTAACTGATAAACAACGCTATGTGTCAGACAATACTATTTATTAACTGATAAACAACGCTATGTGTCAGACAATACTATTTACTAACTGATAAACAACGCTATGTGTCAGACAATACTATTTATTAACTGATAAACAACGCTATGTGTCAGACGAAACTATGTTGAAGTTGAAGTTTTACGTTACTTTAATGTGTTTTTTTTTTGTAAACATATTATAATCTTTAGTTACTTTTAAGAACATACGTATTACAGTACAAAAATGTTAATAGATTCTGATAATTAAACAATTAAACTGTTGTTTTCAAGATAAAAAAAATAGGAAAATAAAACACGCTCATTTTGTTGGCTATAAATAAAATATAAAAATATTTTTTTTTTTACATTATATCAGTTATTTGTTTCTTAACTTGTTCCAGATTCCAAATGTTCAGATAAGTACAGCAACTGCAAACTAGTTGTACGAGCTCGTCTTTGTCATTACTCCTACTACAGAAATCTGTGTTGTGATTCGTGTGCTGAAGGTTCGTAATACAGCAACGTCTTACATCAGATTCTTTAAGGTCTTCCCAGTCAAGCGTTTAAAAAACATCGCTGTATATTTTAGATCGATATATTGTAAGCGTTACGATTGTTCGATGTGAAAATTATTATTTTACAAAGCTCCAAGTAAGAAATATTCATGATTGCATTGGTTTCAAACACTAGCCTGTTTTATGATATGTATTCTTGGTAATTATTTCGAAAATATTATTAAATCGGAGTTTAAACAAAGGATAATCTTGTGAATCTCCTATGATATTTTTCACGACTATATTTTTTATATATTTGGTGACTAGTTGATCTAATGTTACAAAAGTATAAGCTTATTTGTTCATGAATGAAAGTATGGGAATCTTATTAAAGAAATTTAGCGACTTCTTCTCATTTATTTACAAAACAGAGCCATAGGTTTTGCTATCATGTTTTGGGAAAAATAGAAAGATCATCTCAATAGTTTTTTGTGAATGTTATTTCTAGAAAGCATCATCTTTTAAATTTTTACCATTTTGTTAAGCTGAGTTTTGTCTCTCATGACAGCTTATCATAAAATACTTTATGAATTTGAATGTTTTTGATCAGCTATCTTTACAGAAATACTGAGAATTTTATGTTAGCATGTTCTTTTGAAAAATCTAATGAGTTTTTAATAGAGATCATTAATTCGTAACTTCGGTTTTCCCATACACTTCTAGGTGTTTTGAATTTAACATTTTATTAAATATCTTACAATTAAAGATATTTGTGACAATATCTGCTTAGAGATACTTCTTACCAGTATTTAAATCGAGGATACTCAACACCGGAAAGTTAAATATCTAAAACGTTAACCAGGGTTTAAATCAAAGGATACTCTTTAGCTGGGAGTTACCAATATGAGGTACCAATATCTGAAACTTCAAAGAGTATTTAAATCGAGGATACTCAACACCAGAAAGTTAAATATCTAAAACGTTAACCAGTGTTTAAATCAAAGGATACTCTTTAGCTGGGAGTTATCAATATGAGGTACCAATATCTGAAACTTCAAAGAGTATTTAAATCGAGGATACTCAACACCAGAAAGTTAAATATCTAAAACGTTAACCAGTGTTTAAATCAAAGGATACTCTTCAGCAGGGAGTTACCAATATGAGGTACCAATTTCTGAAACTTTCCACCTGGGAGGGATTTATTTATATCTGATGTTTTGAGGAGTGTTTAAATCGAAAATATTTACAGGTGAATTTATGAACAAATAAGGGGGAAAACAGTTCAGAGCTGAGCCAAATCTTCGAAAATGTTTATTAAACACTCAAAAGGAAATATACTGAAATTAATTTGTATGTTGCTCCATACCTTTAAAACATTAATGTATATCCTGAGGACCTTTCAAGTATGCTTGAGTTACGTGAAAAGGTATTGAAGGTTTCGTTACAAGTGACTTATTTCAAAGAAAATTATGAAAACACTAATTTTCACATTGTTGCATAATCATAAGATTGAAATATACTTTCTGTTTAATATTTGTGATCTTTAAGTGTGAGTTTTCAGCAGTTTCTATATCATGGGTGAGAATATGTTTTGTCCATCTTTTGCTTTTATCCCTAGCTTTAAGCTATATTTTAAAGATGCAATAATCACAAATAATGTTTTATGGCTGTTGGTTTTATATGTGTAAAGGTTTTGATGTTATCTTTAATAAAGATATATTTGAAATGTACATAGACGTATTTATTGTTAATCTTACAAATGGAAAGCACATTGTACTTCTTCGATGCACGTAATCATAACAAACGTATTATTTATTCTTATTAATTATGATTTTTTACCAGCACATGACAGTCGCATTTATGTATAGCTAAGATTAGTTTAGCAACTCAGGTTTGTGTATAGCTAAGATTAGTTTAGCAACTCAGGTTTATGTATAGATAAGATTTGGCTTAACGGCGAATTACAAATCAAAGTTTTAGTTATTGGTGATCGGATCCTCAGTGAGGTATAGGAGAGAAACTGAGACAAAACATGTTGACTTGCAAATACAAAGAAATCATTTAAATGTTTTTGTAATAGGACACAAACGGTTTCAGTTTTAGTATCAAATTGTTGGATTAAGAAATAAAAAAATAAAAACCATTAGACTTACAGCATAAAGTTCCTTAATACAACACTAGTGTATAATATATCAAATTTTCAATTTAGTTGTTAAAGTTTGATATTATTTTTCAATGTTAAAGGAATTATATTCAGGTTTAAGAAGTCTTGATACAAGAAGATAGAACCTTATAACCCGAGCGCTTTCGAAAGGTGGACCTTTCTTCTTCAGGGGCAAACTGGGAATCATAAGTTTGTCCCTGAAGAAGAAAGGTCCTCCTTTAGAAAGCGTAAATACATTATATTAATACCAACATAATATTATTAAATTATCAAAATTAAATAATCATCCTTATAATCTTTGTCTCTATTGACTGATCTATGAATATTTAAACTTTGGAATACCAATATAACATACATAAGCAACGTTATACGTGATAGATCTCCATTCTAAAATTACTTCATGCTGAATACGCAGATACAAGAAATACAAGAAATGTAACAAAAAATCAGATTCATGTTTTAGCAATAAGGCCTAATAATTTAACTGAAATGACAGGGTAAACAAGAACTAAAACCAACAGAAAGATCTGAATGATTGTGTAACGCATTAACATTTCGCGCTCTTTAGGTTTTGTCGATTACATAAAACGTGGATTAATCAAACTAGTTGAATAAATATGAATACATACACATTTGTTCTAAGCATTTTATTTATTATAGGTTATTTGACATATTATGCAATGACATAAATAAAAAATACAACATTTCGTTGCTGATTCACTTTAGAACAGTTCGCCAATCACTAAAATAATTTAAAACCATCGTTTTACAGAGCAGGATATACTTACAAGTCAACCCATGTGGTTATATATAATATACTTTTTAACATCGTAGACATGTTTCATAGATTTCTTCCACTGGTGAAAATTAATCTATTAAAGTCGTTTTAACAATTACGAAAAAATAGTAAAACTGTTTGTACTCGGTTGTTTTTAGTGCTGAATGTACAGGTGTATATTCTGGATTGTGTGCTCGTAATTGATACAAAACAAAAATATTCATTAACCTTTGTAACAGATAAATTTCACAAGAATATATGTTAATAAAGGCACTGATTAAAAGAACATCCGTGGCACAAGTTTACACAAAGAATATCAAACATGAAATAATAAATAGAAAAGATAATGATTTCACAAAAATGGGAATTTTCCCAAAAAATCTGTCAAAGCCAGTTTTCCTGATATGATTGAAAAAACAGCTGTCACGAAATACTAAAAGTGCTTTGCTAAACTCAAAGCTACAAGAAACATATTCACGGATTGAAGTTCATGGGTGGTGGCAGAAGATGTTTCTTCAAAATATCTAAAGGTAACCTCTTAATTAGAATATTTTACAGAGACTTGCATATATATATACTTTTCTTTAAGATCTATGGTTCAACACAACACAAATATGCCACTTGTTCTTACGTAAATGTGCATTTAGGGATTCGGGTGCAACCTGTATTCCTTCACACACACACACACACAAATACAAATTTACACTTAAATTATTCATTATACTATTTAAGACTTAACAAATCGAAAAATGACGAAAATCACCGATTGACGATACACGCTAGCTAAAACATTTACATAAGCGTATGCCACATTGTCGTATATATAGAACCAAAAAAGAAATGTCTGTCAGGTTAATCCAATTATTCGCAAATAAAATATGTTGTACATTGCGATCTATATCTCATCATTCTGGAGAAAGTTGTGGAAATCATTTTTTATAAACGTTAACCACACACAAAAGGAATCACTCGATTGTATAATTAGTTAAATTTACGAATGGGTGGAACCTGTATATCAGGTTAGCGATTTATCTGAGGGCATACCAGAATGCTTTAGTTAATCAAGTAAAGCATAGGATCCTGTAATTTAGTGGTACAGGTAGCGTTTGCTCAACTAGAATAATACCACGGTTTATTCGAGTTTAGTTTATGTAATGGACGACCATTATATATTAAGATGGAAAATTGCTTTTAAATTGAATATATATATATATATCTACCGTTACTCAAATACTACCCGGAAAACCTTCAATAGAGTGACTGACAATTGTATAAACAACAAAGCAGTGTAAAATGATTAAGTGAGAAACATAAGTCTGTGTTATTACAATAATGAATTCCTCAACATAACACTGAATATTCATATAACCAATCCAGATTAATAGGACCATACCACTGCTGTAATAAACAAATATAATGTATTGGTGTATAATTCTACAGGGTTACTCTAGCATAGAAATATGTATACATACCACAAGGCTAGCCAACTGTTGGTTATAGATCACCAGATTAATCGAACAGGGAATACTAGCCTAATTAAGCAGAGAACACTAGGCTAATGTTGTAAAGCTAATCAAGCAAGGAATATTAATCTAATGTTTTTCAAGCTAAACAAGCAGGGAACACTAGCCTAATGTTTCAAGACTAATCAAGCAGAAAACACTAACCTAATGTTTATAAGGCAAATCAAGCAGGGAATACCAGCCTGATATTTTAAGGCACTGAGTACAAGCTTAATCTAGGAAGGAAAATGAACCTGTAGTCTTTAACTTGAAACGAACAGCGAGCAGAGAATCATACCATTCAAGTTTAATTGCTCTACGTTTTAAGGTTAATAAATCATAGAGTGGAAACCGGAACCTTTCATAGTTAATTAAGTAAAGAATGGAAACCTGTACACTTCGTTCACAAAAACAGAGTGGAAAAACTGGACCTTTCGAGTCTAATAAACATGGAGTAGGAACCTGTAACATTCAAGGTTAATCAAGCAGGGAGTAAAAAGTTTGCTTTTCAGAGTTGTGAATCAAGGAGTGGAAACCTCTATCTTTCAAGACAAATCAAGTTAAACCGTTACTATGAAATAAATGAAAATCGTTTACAATATGATAAAAGTCCAACACTTTCTTTAGTTCTCTTAAAAATGGGTCAATAAGTGAAAAATAATAGAAAAATTCGAAAACAAACACGTTCTAATCCTACTGAAGTTTTAAGTCAAACTGCTTATAAGTAATGTTATGTAGTTCAGTAACCAAGAAATTAAAACAGTAACATTAATAATTTCATAACAATCAGTTTTCATTACCTCCATAAGAATTGCAACCAAAGCTTTCGGCGATGTTGATATTTGTTTGAGGTTACGATGCATAAGTTTGTGTGTCAACGGAGTAGAGTTCTGAAATTATGACGAACTCGGATAACAAAACGGTGGCATACTTCGTTACAAAAACCACCATTCATTTGTTTAATCGAACAATTACAGCCTAATTTCAGTCATTTTCACAGTATAATATGGACTCCAAATGCCTGTCTATTGAAGTTTTAACAAAAATTGATCGACCGACAAAATTTTTGGAAAACATGACAACGGGTGTGAACTTAAAAGCCTCAGCCAGTCGTTCCTAAAAAGGACAGTTTAAGAAGCAGAAAATGTTCCCAGATTTCTCCAGTTCTTGAAAAAGAGGCGAATGATAACAAGTTGCTGGAAATGATATTGGTTGGTACAATATACTCAAAGTATCGAGACGTTAAGAAAGAAAAAAGTTTAGGTATCATCTCATTTAGCAGAAGTTACGTTTTTATTCCTGCAAGGTTTACGTTAGAAATATGGCACTCTGGTCTCCGGACCATCAAATCTTGTGTTGGTTGAGCTCCAATTAACACTGTGGCATTTTAAGACAAAACAAAAATACGGTAATTGATAGTTGCCAATAGGCTCCATAGGAACAACAATTAATGAGAAGCACCAGGTTTTAGGCGGTCATAAACACCCTGTGTGGAGAGTAAACCAGAAATGTTTGTTCTTGGACAAACGTCACTTACGATTTTCGCGGTTTATTGTTAAGATCGAATGGAGTTATTTTATCTCATACCATGACAAGAGTTGCAGCAGATCTGTCTGTAGTAACTGTAGCGACAGAGGCGACTTTGAACGACAAGATCACAATTTTTAAACTGATCCACACACCCAGAAGCTGAAATGTAACAAAAGAAAAAAAATGACGAGGTACTTTATCACTGATAACTTTTTAAAGTTAAGATAAATCTTATCGTAGATATGTCATACAGTACACCAAAGTACATGATATAAATAAAGAAAATCATCACTGAGGAAATAAGTTCACAATGATATCTAAATATTTATTAATAATTTCAGAAAATATTAAAGGAGACTTTTGGAAGCATTTTCAGTTTTTCGAAATACATTATTAGAGAAATCTATCTTAAGGCTACAGTTTAATATATGTTGAAAGTTTTAACAACTTGAAAAAAAATACTAAGATGTATTGTAAGACAGGCTATTGGAAGCTACTTTTGAAAAGTATATACTACATATTTGAATAATTGTAATAAATATTTTTATTTTTTAGGGCTATTAAAACAAAAACTATTTTCGTAATCAATAATAAAATGATTCAAAAGTACTTACTGATAAAAAAAATGTAGCAAAAATCTTATAACTGTGAGATATAATTAAAAGTTAACAATATTTGTTTATAAACACAGCTTCATTCCCATTTTTTGTGGAATAGCATTTCACGCTGCCAAACTTTCCAGGACTTTCTAGAACTCCTGTGATCTAATTTTCCCAGTTCTGTTTATCATAAAAATGAAATACTTGGGCTTACATTAGGTAATAAAGATAGAGAAATAGCGCTATAATGACCTGGAAAGCTTGACGCCCTAAATGCTTTTTCGCAACAAAAGAGTATAAAGATGGGTATATGAATAAAATTTATACAACATAAACTACAACACCTAAAGCTATATACCCGATGGAAATCTTTATTAACTCATCCTCGCTAAAAAGAACTAATAATGTAACTCAAAATAATAATATTCAGCTATTGATGACAAAAGCTTGTTTCCTAATGTAAAATTAACATCTTTTGTACAACTGAGCGGTTAAATAAATAGATTTTATTATAATTATGGTTGGCAGTTCAACAAAAATATTCCTGACAAAATTCCGTATCTGAAATCCCCACAATCGGCCTATCAGAACTGATACATGGTCGTGATATGGGTCTTGCTATCGGACTTAATATTTTGAATTAACTATGAGTAAATAGTTGAAAAACCATAGGTGCTAGGTTTGAATAGCAAAATAAATATCCCTAAACACTATTTTGCCATCATAGTGTACCAAAGTAGATATTTAAAAAATCACATCATACAATGTCGTTTCAAATTGACATTTTAGGTAACAGGTGGACGTGGTGAAGGTTTGTCTTAAGAGTTCGAAACGTCGTCTCTCAACGTTTGCAGGTGAAGGTTTGTCCTAAGAGTTCGAAACGTCGTCTCTCAACGTTTGCAGTAGAAGGTTTGTCCTAAGAGTTCGAAACGTCGTCTCTCAACGTTTGCAGGTGAAGGTTTGTCCTAAGAGTTCGAAACGTCGTCTCTCAACGTTTGCAGGTGAAGGTTTGTCCTAAGAGTTCGAAACGTCATCTCTCAACATTTGCAGGTGAAGGTTTGTCCTAAGAGTTCGAAACGTCGTCTCTCAACGTTTGCAGGTGAAGGTTTGTCTTAATAGTTCGAAGCGTCGTCTCTCAACGTTTGAAGGTGAAGGTTTGTCCTAAGAGTTCGAAACGTCGTCTCTCAACGTTTGAAGGTGACGGTATGCCCTAAGAGTTCGAAACGTCGTCTCTCAACGTTTGCAGTGAAGGTTTGTCCTAAGAGTTTGAAGCGTCGTCTCTCAACGTTTGTAGGGGAAGGTTTGTCCTAAGAGTTCGAAGCGTCATCTCTCAACGTTTGCAGGTGAAGGTTTGTCCTAAGAGTTCGAAGCGTCGTCTCTCAACGTTTGCAGGTGAACGAATGTAATTACGTAATTCAAAATAAAGCAAAATAACATACCAGACAACCCCCCTCCCTTCTTCCCTCATAAGCTAGGAGAAATTATGTACCTAGTTGGGCTGAAAAAGCTAAAGTTGCAGTTGCCAGTTGGAGATGTCTTGGTTTTGGTTTTTAATGAAGAGTCATAGTGATATTACGATTGAGTTCCAATGTTTTTAAAACGAAAATTGCAATAAATCAAGATAAAAAACAAAATATTTACACATAATTTAAATAAGGATAAAATGCGAGATGGTAGATATTAGATGAATAATAATATTATAGAAATTATAGTATAATACGAATTATTTCTGCTTATACATATAACGCATTATTAAGTTACACGTAAAAAATTTAAAATAAAGTTCATATTCCATAAAAAATTGTGCTTCAATATTTTCTGAGCAGAAGAAGGTTTGCACTAATTGATGGTATATAAAATAATGTACCTATGTTTGATCCGGGACACTCCTGAGTGCTACATGCCTTTCTCAGTGCTGGTTTTGTTCCTACGGGACATTCCTGACTTATTTGTTGATTCTCACTCACGCACGAAACTTCTCGTGACTGTACACCGGTATTACAGGATCTAGAACACTGCACACAGAAATACGTCATACAGAAACATTTAACGCTAGCCCAGTATCCAAGTGCCCATATTTCACACACGCACACGCATATATATAATGATACTGATGTTAAAAACACCCAGCATAACCTACCTCAGCGTTAACCAAACGATACATTCCAACCCTAATCTACCAACACGAATGTCACATGACCTAACACAATATTATGTAACATGACGTTTTGAACTAAAACTGAAACCAAAAATGTGTCATACGGCCTAGGACAAAGTCACGAGCAACCTGTACGCGGAACCATTGAAAATGTGTTACAAATCAAGTCTCATGGTTAAATAAAACATGTTATGACCTAAATTAGTTTTTAAAGGGTATCCAGCTGGTAGAACAATGCATTTTAATATATCTTCTTGAAGTAGAAACGTAAGAAAAGTATATTTAATTAGTTCTATCGACGTCCAGGTTGATTTTTTGTTTCGCTCTAGGTACATAGCTTACTTTGATATGAAGTTATTATTATGTACCTAATATTATATCATAACATTAAAACCAAATTAATAGAATTACATACACTTCCAGAGCAAATAGTTTTTTATGAACAAAAGTTTGTTTCTTATCGATCTTTCCGTAAACTACAGCGCTAACTGCGCTAACCAGCTCGAATTTTGAGCTTGTAGACCAGAGTGGAGACAGCTAGCTCTTATCCTACTTTAAATGAATAGTTGGATTTGACCATCACTCTTATAACGTACACATTATCTCAAAGAACGGAGTATGATTGTACGGCAACAGTATCCTCAAGTTCACAGTCCGGCTTTGAATAATCACAATATCCAAAAGCCCACACTCAGCCCTTGACCAAAGATAATATTTATTAAATATTATGGCACTTAGCATTCTAAAACTATCTCCTATCTCATCATTATATTAATCAAATAATTTGCAACGTATCTAAAATAATTTCAAACTAAAATGTTTCACATGAGCTCTTACGATATGACAAAATAATGTCATATACCTGATGGCAGTGACAATGATAATATATGACAAAACAATGTCGTATACCTGATGGCACTGACAGTGATAATATATGACTAAACAATGTCATATACCTGATGGCACTGACAGTGATAATATATGAAAAAACAATGTCATATACCTGATGGCACTGACAGTGATAATATATGACTAAACAATGTCATATACCTGATGGCACTAACAGTGATAATATGCCACATAGATTAGCATAGTGTTAAATAAATATTTGACATAGCCTTTAATAAAGCAGTAACCACACATTACGCCTTACAGATAAGGGTCAAAATGATTGTGTTAATAATCAGCGAACACCTTCAGCTGAACGAAATCATAAAAGAAAGCACCGACGAACTTTAGAAATTTATTGGGAAATACAATGTTATTTTCAGTTATAAATATGCAATACATATTAAAGGATATGAAGTTCATATACGACCACGTATGGCCTAGTGGTTAGCGTGTCGAACTTGGAATCATAGAGTCTAAGGTTGTAAGTGTGATAATATAGGACACGCTCTATACTTTTAGCTATGAATGTGTTATAAAACATTCAGTGCAGATCACCAAATAAAAGCAATACAAATACATCAACAAAAGCCTGTCATGAAGCTACAATGCATATTTATAATGCAAACAAAATAACAGGCAGAAGTGTAGTAAGTATAAATTTACTTACCTCCGTCCATGAAGTTGTGTACCATTCTGGGCCACACGCCTTCTGGTTGCATGCTTCAGTTGTGTCAGGTTTTTTCTTTTTGTGACAGTTTATGTCTAGGGCGGAATACCACTGCCCTCTGGTGAAAGTCATACAGATCACCTCTCTTTTCTTTTTGCCTGGACCACACGTCTCAGAGCACTTAAAAGATTAGGAAGCACAAACTGAACCTTCGAGTTCTTTTTGTTATAATACTAGCATAAGTGATTAGAATAGTTTCAATGAGGTTACAATGGCGAATGTAACAATGCATGAATATGTAAAAACCAGTGACAAACCAAGAGTGAATTGTTTTAATATACTCCATTATTAGGTTAAAAAATAGAAATACACATGGAAGGGATTTACTAGACAAACAGCTATTAATTTGCACTATGAAAAATAATGTAAAGTAAATGTTTGAGAATAAAAACAATTGATTTCGCTTCAAATTGACAAACCTATTAATTCTATGCATGACACGAGCGTTTTTTCCCTTTCTTTTCAGCACACAAGATCTACTAATCTACTCAGGGTGCTTATTAAAGTGTATAATTGAAAATTAGAGAAAACTAACCCTAAAAATGATGGGTAGCATGGAAATCAGCCTTACCTGGCTCCAGGAGCCAGTGAACCACTGACCATCACATCCTTTCGTGCTGGGACAAGGACGGGTTTCCTTCGGTCTCGTGGAGGTGTCACACGTTCCTTTTACACTGTCATTAGTGGTTCCTTGCAAACACAGAACTTTTCTACTCTGTACACCCGCTCCACATTCTGCTGAACACTAAGAAACGTTCCGGAACGTTAAAACCATCGTCGACTAAACAACTGCGACGTCAGATTATCAACAAACTGTACCAAAAACGTTTCAATGCACAAAGAAAAGCGACAATATAGGGAGGCGTAAAATTCCGTGGTGTACCAGAAAATGTGGGACAGTTTTTTATACATAATTTTAAAAAGTGAGATAACTTTTTTAATATTAAAAACTAGTTTCACGTGTGACCTAATTGGTAAGCAAAAGCAAACGGTACAACACCTGCTTTCGTTATTACGCTTACAATGATTTTCACAATAAATATGGTAAACGTCATGTTGTCAAAGCAAATGTATTTTGAAAACATTCCTTCATTTTAGAATTGCATAATTTGTTTTTTAGAAATCCTAACGGACTCCATGTTTAACTAGCCGTTTGGTTCTGATGATTCAAATATTGAAACCAAGGAAAGCAGTTTTGTTTTGGAATCAATACATTTTCACAAATACGGGATTGTCTGACTTCTAATTTCACTTGCAGAACAAGTGCTTATCTTTTTTTAAAAACAAAACTTATGTGATTTAATCTTTTCAGGGTAAACATGGCAACGTCACAGGGCCTATCAAATTTTATCTCAAACACCTGAACACACTGTCTGTAAAAAAAACCCTGTTTATTACATGTCTTACACAATATAGCGAACACTCACTTGAACATATCGTCATCGAAAACCTTTTCGAATTAACCCTCCAGGTGACTCCAAAGATTTACTATAGGGTTAAAAAATGGATTATGCGTGGGCTATTAAAATATATTTTGAAATCAGACATGGGACCTATATACTTTGTGGTAGGCAACATTATTCTACTGGGGCAACACATTATAATGCTGACTCAAAATTACATCTATTATAACTGTAACAATTTCATTTAAGATCTCCTGATATGGATGGGTATTTAGATGTGTAGATATCTTACAGTTGGGTTCAATGCCCCATAAACATAATTCGGCTCATTCGCTCCATTAATGACTTTTCACACTTAAGATAATACAGAAACAGAAGAACTGTTCACTTGATTTTATTGGAATTATAAAATGGGCGAAACGTATTCATCATTTTGCATTATTTGCGACCGAGCGTCAACAGTAAGCGCTTACATGGCCTTAATCCAAGTGAAACAACGCGGAAAAGTATTAGAGATGATGTCCAATTTGAAAGTCTCAACACTTTCAAAAGTAGTTAAATTTTTAAAAGGTGCAGTACAAACCCCATAGATGGTGCTCGTTCCTTTGTGGTCACATTGGATGCAGTAAAGTAACTATTAACAAAGAAGAATACGTTTGCTGGTGTTTGATAACGCTTTACGCCTGATGATATATTTTTTGACCTAGTGCTCAAATACTGTTAAATGTTCTTATGCATAGTAGATTGTAAGTACCTATACAATGCCAATACATCACATTTTTAGTTTTCTCCCACTTCTAGCAGCCAGTAAGCTCCTCTTTTTTTTTCCAAAGTTTGCATGATAAAAATGTTCTACAGTTCATCTGTACGGTATGTGTGTTTCTGTGTTTACTGAGATCCCTAGCACAACGTGATGAATGGGCCACATGAGTGTTCGAGAAATGTCCAGACAGTTTTGGTGATGCTTGTTTATTTGTATTTATGCATAAAGCTACACAGTGGGCTATCTGTGCTCTGCCCACTACGGGTATCGAAACACGGTTTCTAGCGTTGTAAGTCCGCAGACATATCTCTGTGCCACTGGAAGCATTTTGGTAATGCAGTATGTAAATCAATACAAAAATCCTAATGGAAAAGAGGCACTGTACGGCTTTTAAGAAAAACAAAAGAAAGAAGTACAATCTAAATCAATGGAAGTAGAAATCTTGGTAAATAACTGAAATCCTGACACAATAAAAAATGTTTTAATTACATGGGGCCTTGAACTCTGTACCAAAGAATTAATAAATGATTTACTCATTACTGTCATTTAATACGATAATAACAATATAATTATTATTCTATCTTAATGTTTTAATTATATTACCTTTTACTTGCTTATTTGTTTTCGTCACAAACGTACTAAGCCTTTTGTCTGTTAGGATTTTTGCATTGATCTCTTTGGCTTTTTTTTACATGATGTATCTAATAACTTCTTTCTTGCTAATACAAGAACATAAAATGTTTTAGAAATCAATTAAATTACAATTTCAAACATAGGTATCGCAATTCACCAGTGATCAATTTCTTGATCACGCTCCACTTAATTCCCAGTTGCTTATTCGTTTGTTCAATGCAACTGGTCACATTTAACAACTGCCGGCTTTCGTTAATCGACATAACACATTTATAAATATGGTAGAAACCTACAGTGCTATACCTACACAGATGTAAAGGACTATCTTCACTTGTGTAGTATTAAGTATTTGAAAATATTTGGTTGGCTATCCAAACATGATGCATTACGAGTTGAAAGGATCTGATACATATATATATATATATTGCGTTGAATGTGAACACAGTTAAAGAAATGTTCCACCACTGCCAACAAGAAGGATTGTGGCAGACTAGAAATGTATTAAATTTCTCTTATTAGTTTAAGCTTAATGTTCAGCGCCATTTTACAACAAGCAAATACGTGTAAGCTTTTAGGGCATCCCAAAAAAAGTTTGAAAATATTGCTTCTGGAGGACTAATTTTAACCATGTATGTTATATAATAGAAATATTTAATTATGATGTGCCTTAATGAAGACACCACTGTGAGTTCTTGATAAACAATCACTAATTCAGTGCTTCTGTGCAATTATATATTAAGACAATTATATGCCATGAACGACTGAAAAGTAATAAAAAATCATCGCAACTAGGTAACTTAAACGTAGAGACAAATTAGAGAAACTTTCAAATTTGTGTTACTTTTCTAATCATATTAATTACTATAGACTAACTGACTCTCTTTGTTTTGAGATTCATAAATTTCTTGATGAATAAACATATATTTGCAATGCGACAAGAATGCACACAAATTTAAATATTTTTCTGCTAAATCATATGATTGCATCTAACCACAGTATCAAAGTAAATTATTTTACTATTGCTTGAATGCATTGTGGTATATAAGCGCTTGAAAGTTCTCAAAATATCAAAATAAATGCTGGTTAAATTGTGCAGCAACAAAGATACTTGACCTTTTGGACAGACACAGTAAATTTCAAACGTAGATCAAGCATAAAATTTGAGATTCTCAACATAAAACAACACTGAAACCTTACCTCAGAGTGTCATATTAAGATCGTTATAAAATCTCTGCTGAAAAAAGTAAAAGCTTAATAGTTTTAACCTTGTGTATTCCACAGAGTCTGTTAGTATTCTTAATGCAAAACAAACTTAATTGATAAAAACAAACTAAAGGGGGGAAGGATAACAACAACCGATAGAAAGCCTACTGATTCTGTCCAAGGTGAGAAAAACCAGGCGTTGTCACACGGTCCCATATCACACATTTCTTCGTTATCAGGTTTACTGTCGGTACATTTAGATTCGGGGACTTCGGCTTCACTATCTTGTGTTACACAACGAACTTGTCTTTTCCTCATGCCCTTTCCACAGTGAGTAGAACACTAACGTAGAAAAAAGTTGAGTGTTTATGATGATATGGATTCCGTTTCAACACAGTATATAGCACGCTATAATAACTATTTGGACTATTGCAACATAATAATACGTATTGCAATATAAGATAACTTCAGTACATTTATCTCACTGCATTTTCTAAGAAAAAATAAAGATTACATACTTGCTCCTATTAACCGTACTCCGAAAGAACTAACTGTTATTAAAAATGAACAGTAATTTTAAATGTTAGGTTTGTTTTAGAAGTGGATAATGTCAGGTTTTTTACTTTGTTTTTTAGTTATCGTTTCATAAAATTCTAAGAAAATGGGCATAGTGGGATAACTGAATATTTATGGCGTATTTCGTGAGTATATTGTCATATCCATTTGATTTCATTCATTTCATGTTATTTACATTTCAGTGTAAATATAACGTTTAAAAGAAGGTGATCGGTTACATGCTAATAAAACTATTACTTTCATCACGTTATATTATCACCACTCTTTTAGATTTAAACACATAAGTTAGGGATTGTTCTGATAACAAATACTATTGGTATAATCGTCTATAGGTTTTTCATACTTCTCCCCAGTCGGCTGTTTTCCAGTGAACACATGTCTGTACCCGGCACATCTGCTTGGAAAGAGGTTTTTCTAAATCAAAGCAGGCTCGTTCAGTCACTTTCATTATCACCCTTGGAGAGACTCTTTGTTTGCAAGTAACGTCGCGGGTTTGAGTACCATCCCCGCAGGTAGTACTGCATGGACCCCAATCTCCTGGAAACCAGCTACAAAAAATAAAAATATTTCACTGAATGAATACCGTTAAGAAAAAAAATAGGTAACTCTTGTGGTGGCAGATATTTTCCTTATGGATATTCAATAAGACTGCACAGGAATATCACATAGTCAAGCATAAAATACAGTAAACAGATGTTATAATCATTATGTCATAAAAATAAACAAAATGAAAAGTTTGAAAGATCGCAAAAATATCAGAGTTGAAACAGATCTTTGAAAAAAATAGTTCACCAAAGAGGTAGAACCATGTAAGAGATTATAGAGGTAATAAGAGTTCACACCTATAACCCAGACTCTAGATTATCCTTCACCATGTAAGAGATTATAGAGGTAATAAGAGTTCACACCTATAATCAAGACTCTAGATTATCCTTCACCATGTAAGAGATTATAGAGGTAATAAGAGTTCACACCTATAACCCAGACTCTAGATTATCCTTCACCGTGTAAGAGATTATAGAGGTAATAAGAGTTCACACCTATAACCCAGACTCTAGATTATCCTTCACCGTGTAAGAGATTATAGAGGTAATAAGAGTTCACACCTATAACCCAGACTCTGGATTATCTTGAGGAAGTTAAACTGAAAAATATGATTTTCGATAACTACTGGTTTTTATTTATTGAAGAATGGCTGACACATCTTAGGGGAAATAGTGAAGACTAAATAATAAACGTATATATATATATATGTTATAAAAATATTCTTCTAATTAATACTATATAGTTAAATGTAGGTTGCCAAATTAAGACTTTGTAATCAGGCGATCAGAATGCAACTAACCCTAATATCCATATATAACAACTCTGATTACAATGCAACTAAACCCTAACATACTAACGATTCTGATCATAATCAGTACATAAATGATTCAACTTAAGACTGAATAACGATCAGAATGCAACTAAGTCCAAATACCCATAGACTCACAACTCCATGTTCATAATCAGTACAAATAGAATTCAATTTAACACCCAGTTTGTGAGTCACAGAAACTGAATTCAGAGGATTGGGTGGGCTATACAAAGACACAGCTTCCGATATTCAAGCTAGAACCAAATAAAATGCACTCGATCGATCTTCTAGCCTAAAAAACATACACTTTACTGCCAAACGAACTCAGTCAGCTCTCTATAGTTCTCGATCACGAGGATGCGGAGTTTAGGGGGGTTGTTCCTCTTCTGGAAAATATTAGAAGTGTTCATGTTCAAGGAAGTACTGCACTTAGCCAATTTACAGCAGCAAAGGAGCTCCACTAAGTCTTTGTCGGCTATGTCTGTTGACAAAACTCGCGAAAATTGCGGAAAAAAACGGCTTTATAGGGCAGAGGAACCAGGTCTTGTGTTGCGCAACATGTGGGACCACTACCTAGTCTTGTGTGGGACATTGGATTTGGGGTATGAGTTTTACTTCTTTATAGTCTAGAAATTAAGGTGAATTCGGTCACGCTGGAAAGCAATTCAGATTCTACATAGCGCAAGGAGCTAGAATCTTTATTTACGGGAAAGCTTTGTTTGGAAATCAACACACAAAGTATGTCTCCCTGACTCACAGGCTGTGTGTGTTAAGACAATTTTAACGATCAGAATGCTGCTAAATCCTAATTAACATACACTGACAGCTCTGCGTTTAAGGTTAATGCAAAAAAAAGGATTCAACTTGACTTAACATGAAACTAAACTTAAATAGCAAGTTTCAATATTTGACAGCTCACGATCTTCTTAGATTGTAGAACTTATTGTAACAGGACGCTAAAAATTAATAAAATATATTAAGGTTTGGTTTGTTTGCTTTAAAGCAAAGTCAAACTGAGCTATCCGCTGTGTTTAACGCGGGGAATGTACGATGGAAGTATGTGAACCTACCGCTGTCCCACCGTTTTTTTACGTTCGGATTGGCGGATGATTGTAATTATCAATCTGTATTTTAACTCACAACTTACCTCGCTGGACAAGGATGCGTGTTGCACTGAAACGTCTGCAATTTGAGCTTATGAAGTGGGTTACAGTAGTGATCATGAACTACAACTAAGTTGTCTCTTCTTCGACACACAATCAGTGTGCTTTGTTTTCCTGGAAATAATTTACATTTCTCTGTTAGCATTCTAGAGTCTATCATACACTCAAGATGAAACACAGCTTACAAAGTTCACTGACAAAAATAGATATTCCTGCCTATTATCAGATAGATACTTGGAAACATAACATTATTACTTTTGCACACATTTTAAACATAGTGAACATACTACAGTTGAAAGAGACCAAGAAGACACACTGTAGAGCCTTCGAATTGTGTATAGAAAGAAAGGGTAAACAAAAAACAAAAGCATTAACAGTTGCTAAAAAGGTTATAAGAGTTCACATCTGTAACTAAGATTGTGATTATTCTGTAAAAGATGATAAGAGCTCACATCTGTAACCAAGACTGTGATTATTCTGTAAAAAAAAATAAAAACGTTAACTCATTTGTAAAAGCTGATTTATTGGTCGTTATTTATTTTAGGATAACTACTGGTATTTAATTCTTGCAACTAATAAGAGAACGCATATAGGCTAAGAAATAAAAAAATAATTAAAAGAGCTTTCAAGTGCAGATGAAAGTTGAGTTAACTTGCAAATCTCTTTAAACTATATATTGCCACTTTCTGTAGTCTTCTAATCTATAATTCTATTTCATCTTCAACTTGACAAACACTGTAGAAATTGATAGATTAAATTTAAACTACAGATTCACCTAACAATTTTAAGTTGGAAATGATGTACTTAAGAATTGAACAAAGACTTCTAATTGATAATACGAAGCTATATTTATATCAACACACACTCTCTTTCTGAAATTGGAAATCTGTTTAATTTTAGCTCCTGTTATTCGTTAAAGTTTTAGTCTCGGTTGTGTGAAACGTGACACTAAAATAAACGTTATACATTTCTTCACTTATTAGAAACATTCATGACAAAAGATGTGGGACTTACTGACAAGAGCCAAACTATTCCCTTATAATTATAAAGAGTTCATACAAGGGTATATACTATTTACCCTTTAAAACTCTGCTAGAAGTAAGGGTAGTAAGTGTTTCTTTTTATATAATAAAGAAAAAGAAACAACATCTTTCATGAGTTTTAACTGAGTTTGTTGTTTATAGAAACATAAAATTAAATTACAACTGTTCAAGGATAGAATTAAAACAAATGAAAACTGGTACATTGGTCAGAGAGGCGAGGAGTAAGTGTTTATTTCGTGCATAACGTTGAAGTGTCAGACTAGAAAAAAATGCAGCTATTAAACAGCATCCATCGCCTACTCTTTACTGATTGAATAGTGGTACTTAACCATCACTCTTATAGTGCATCTACAACCCCCAAAGTGCTGAGCGAGATTTTGTGTCACAGTCTGATCACACTAACCATTAGATCACACGTGGCCATGAGGAAGAACAGGCAGATAAATAGTTAATAATATTTTATTACTAAATTAAAATATTATACAATGGTTTGTTATTCTAGCTTTTTATTCAAGTTATCAAAATACTGCAACAAAAGAAAGGAGATTAGTATGAATAGTTTCTGTTTAAAGAGCCCTTGGTGTCTACTTAATTAGCTACTGTTAACACACGGTTCAGAGTTTTAGAATTTGAAAATATTATAGGGTCATGTTCATGTTTGTGTGAGCGTGTAATTCTAATATCGACTTGCACTTAGTTTGAACCCGTTTTTTTCTCCTGTTCACGAAATTAAGCTACGATTTCTAAGATATGTATTTTTTTATTATTCCTGTAAACTCCCAGTGGAGCATAGGGCCGCAACAACACCTCGCCAACGGAAGGTGTTGTTGCAGTTACTTGTAGCAGGGTTTGGTTTTTTACGGGGGTGGAGTTTACTAGTCCCCGCGCCCAACC